TAAAAAAATAAATTTTGCCCAAAGTATTTGGGCAATTTCGGCTACTAATAGAAGCAGTTTTGGCCAGAAACCTTAGTATAGTTCCTTAAAAACCACAAATAAATCTGATGTTGATCACAGGTGTCAGATTTAATTAAAATTTCCTATCCCAAATATGCAAGACAGTGCAATTAAACATTCTTCAGCACCATGGAATTTCCTTTTCATGGTTGAAGTGGACTAAAACAATCTAAAAGGCTTTGGACAAAACATTCATTATCTTCCTTCAGACCAGGCTTGCAGTTGCCATATGGCATTGATTGCTGATAAATATTGGCATTTGTGTGATGCTTGCTTTGCGTTATCCCAATCTGTAGCATAAAGTTGGCACCTACAACTGGTTGAAAATTCACCAACTCAGGAAGTTACAACCTGGGAAGTTGCTTTTTGGATTTTCCCTGAATTCAAAGTTTTGAGTCTTGGGTTGCTTTCTTGCTGGTGGCATGCCTACTTACCAATAATCAATTCAGTTGGTCAAATAAAAATTAAAGAAACAGAAATTTATGAAAATGATTAATTTATATTGAGGGCACCTGATAAATGGCTCAACATTTATCCAGACTCTTATGAAGCAAAATTAAAAAAACCACATGCTTCTCCTGTTGTAAATATTGAAGAGGCTTTAATTTTATGGGTTGAGAAAGCAATTGAATGAATCTAACTATTACAGGTTCTATCATTCAAGAAAAAGCTTTAAATTTTTCGGAATTATTAGGGGATAATAACTTCAAAGCATCATCTGGTTGGCTTCATAATTTTAAGCAGAGATATTCAATTCAGGAATATAACAAACATGGAGAGTCTCAAAGTGCACCCATTACACAAATTCCAATAATGAGAGAAGACTTAAAAAATATCTTTAAAGAGTATCATGCAGAGGATATTTTTAATTGTGATGAAACTGGTCTTTTCTGGAAAATGGAACCATCTCATGGATTATCTACAGGCCCTATCTCAGGTACAAAACAAAATAAAGATAGAGTAACAATATTATTAACTTGTAATTCAACTGGTAGTGAAAAGTTAATGCCATTATTTATCCATAAATATGAGAATCCATGACCACTAAAAAAAATTAACAAAAAGTCTTTACCAGTTGAATATTATTGGAATAGCAAAGCATGGATGCAAATCTCCATATGGAATGTTTATTTAAAAAAATTAGATAATAAAATGCGAATTGTCAATAGAAACATATTATTGCTTGTTGACAATGCACCAACCCATAATTTAATGGATAATGTGCAGTTAACAAATGTAAATGTGCATTATTTACCTCCAAACACAACTGCATTTCTACAACCATGTGATGCTGGGATAATACATTCTTTTAAGGTTTGTTTGTAAATAAATATTTTGATAAATTATATAATTGATTAAAAAAAGTTATCTTTTGACTTACATTTATACCATTTTACAGGCTAATTATCGAAAATTATTATTGACAAGAAACAAGAGGGTAAAAAACCTAAAGAATTTGATATTAAAAAAGCTATAAAATTTGTTGCAGAAGCTTGGGATAATGTTACCCCAATTACCATTAATAATTGCTGGAAGAAGACTGGTATTCTTCCATTTTCAGACAATGTAGCAGTAGAAGTTGAGGATGTGACTAATTTAGAAAGCAATATTGAAGATTTAATAAATAAATTTTCTTTCAGTTCACCATTGACTGCACAGGAATATGTATTGATTGACGATAAGTCAACTAATAGTGAAATGGTAACTGAGGAAGAGATTATTAACTCTCTTGCACAAGTTGAAGAAGAAGAGGAAGAAGTTATGGAACATGATACAAATATTCCCAATGTTAAAACAAAGGATGCAGTCAATGCTTTTGAAACTGCTTATAATTTTCTTGAACAGAACAATTTGGAAATAGATTATAATGAATTAAAAGCTTTTAAATCATTAAAAAGAAAAGTGACATTATATCATGTTAAAAACCAAAAACAAACATGTATTACTGGTTATTTCAATAATTATGTGTCGATCATTACTAAAATAGTTAGAATTTCGTTTCAACGAACTTTTGTTTCATCGAATTTTAATGACTGTCCCCAGAGATTCGTTGAAACGAGGCTTGACTGTATATATATATTTGAACGATAGGACAATAAAAAAATGAAGAGCTTTTTTTTAATTTCATATAAATTAAGGTAGAAACTGATTACAAAAACCTAATTAATATTAAAAAAAATGAAAAAAGGGCTTCATTTTTTTAAAGACCATGATGAAAATAATTCAATAAACATAATCTTACTTCAATATATTTAATGGTTTAAAAGTTATAAGACTTTGAATTTTATTTTGTTTTAATTATTTTAAAATTCTTTGCAGATCATTTTTTAATACTAAATTTTAATTCATAATATTCATAATTGAATAAAATGAATATAAAAGCCTCAATTAATATCAAGGAAATAAAGAATTTAACTTCTTTAAATTCAGCACATAAACTTTTTACTTGCAATGTATTGTTTTTTTATTAGAATAAAGCCAAAAATTGTTACACAATAATTGTTTTGAGAAAAAGTTATCAACAGTTTTATTCCAATCTGATACTATTTATTGTCATTAAACCATTATCAAAATGCCAAAACCAAAAAAAACAGAACAAACATTTACAAAAAATTTATGATTTAAAAATTCAAAGACAATCTCAACCTTTAATTCCTATGGACACTGATATTATTTGTGAAAATGATAGTATAATTGATGTCTATAATTCATCAGATATAAAAGATCCTAATAATGAATTAAGAATTCTCAATGCAAAGAATGACCAGCTCATCTTTCAGAATAGTGAACTGCAAGATCAAAACCTTGATCTTAAGAACCAGGCTAATGTACTTGATAGTAATATTTCTGAGCTTAATAGAAATATAATGCTCATTAATGCAAAGATTGACCAACTCACCCTGCAAAATAATGAGCTGCAAGATCAAAACTTTGATCTCAAGAACCAGGTTAATGAACTTGACAGTTGCATTTCTGAGTTTGAGAATAAAAATATGGTGCTCCTTAATGCAAAATTGACCAACTTACCTTACAAAACAGTGAACTGCAAAATCAGAAACTTGAGCTTAAGAACCAGGTTAATGAACTTGATAGTTGTATTTCTGTGCTTAAAAATAAAAATGTCACCCTTAATCCAATAGATACCAATATTATTTGTGAAAATTTTAATGTAATTGACATTTCTGAATCATCAGATATTGAAAAGTTTAAAGATCTAACCAATACTCATAAAATTCAATTAGAAAAAAAAAGATCAGAATTAATTGATAAAATTAAATCATTACCTCTTGATGAAATAGTAGCTGCCTGCCATCTCTTTAAAACCATGACCTATTCAAATGGAAAATGTGCAGGAAAAATCTTTTCATTGTATATTGTAAATAAAGCAAAAGCATTTATTGAAGAAGGATTATACAAACAAAACATTTCTGTTTCTGCAATACAAGATAAGGTAAGAAGATTAGAAAAAGAGAACAAAAAGTTAGAAAGAGGAAATGAGATAAAAGGTTCACATGTTCACTCACTCACAATGAAAGTCATCAAAGGAGAAAAAAAAAGCCAAATATATAGAAAAGATCCAATCAATTACTAAAAAAAGAAAAAATATAACACAAGAAGAGTTTAGCAATGCAGCAGTAAAATTAATTAAAACTAATAAGAAATAATGTACACCAGAATTTGTCAAACTTGCCACTGAAATCAGTAATACAGGATATATTTCAATTTCTTCAACAGCAGAATGTTACAAAAAAATTTATAAATTCCTAACAGGAAAAGAACCTGATAAATGTCTTTCACCTAGCACAATATCCAATTGGAACAAAGAAATTGCAAAACTATCTGTACATGAAAAGCCAAATGTTTGCTCAGAATCAGTTTTTTTTACATATGGAATAATGGCAGATGAAAGTACTAGAGGAGAAAAGAAATTTTTTTTAGTTTGTTTTGTTTATTGGAATGATAAAAAAGAAGAACCAACACTTACTTTGGTGAAAATGAAGGATATGGATCGATGTACTGGAAATGAAGTTGCAAATACTGTGATTCAGACATGTGAGGAATATAATTTTGATCCAAAAAGATGTAATTTTTGGCTCACTGATAATACTGCTTATATGTCTGGGTCAAGTTCAGGTGCTATTTCTGTATTTAATAACCTATCTCAAAACAGTGCATATTGAATTCCTTGTGGTTTACATTCAGTACATATTGCAGTAAATTATTTTGAAATGAAGCTTATGGGAAGCTCAATTCACCTTCTGGATTGTCTTTGCAAGAACATCACCCATCTTCTCTTTTGAACTTGGCATACCACTTACATGATGGATACAAAGACAGTGATAAAGATAACCCTGTAAATATGAAATCAGAAACCATCCAAAAACTGTATTGGACACTGCTGCAATATTGTCTAAAAATCTATCACAAGTTGTTGGTTATATCAACTGAAAACAGGTGAACAATATTTGGAATGTAAAGAATTTCACCTGAAATTTGCATCTTGGTTTGTTCCACAAATAGAAAATTCAAAAAATACCCCTAAAAATTATATTAAAAAATGGAAAGTTTTTCTCAATCAGCTTCAAGATCCTTTATTGAATCTCCAAGTCAAGTCTATGGTAAAATTTGGCCAAAGGTTTATGCTAAGGTATTTTCTTTCCTTACAGGATATGATGCCACACCTTGAATACTGCAAAATGGTATATCAATCCCATCTCCTCCTTGAAATAGAGCACATGAGTTGCCTGATCATGGCTGAGCGAATTGCAAAAAGTAATTGAATCACCTAATTATTATTTTGCTGATGAATTCAATGGAGCAAACTCTATACTTTCAGAAAATGAACCACAGAATTCCTGCTGCAAATTAAACCTTGGGATTAAAAAATCATTGGAGAGTTTCTCAAAGTGGATGGAATGTTGGATCCATTTACCATTATCTATTTGTTGATCATGGCCCTGAATTTGCATGTACAATTGCTTTTGTGATTATGAATTATACATTTGAAATTGATCCAAGTTGGTATGAAACATCTTATATCAAAATTTTAAAAGAAGAACTATTGAAAGAGAAAAAATAATCATTTGGTTTATTTGAAGCTCTCAAGGAAAATGATTTCACAGAACAATTTCTTGCATTTGCAGGTTCTCAAACAACTGACCTTGTGAAATATCCACTTGTTTATGATTTTGTAAAGTATAGAATCTGGTCCATTATTGTTCACCAACAACAAATTGAGGGTGCATTTAATAAATATGATATAAGAACTGACCCTAACCAGTCAAAAGCTTTACAAGAGGCTAGGATACAGTTAACCTGTTCTACAATTGAATACATAACAATTACTAGAGAAACTTTGAGTGAAGTATGTAAAGAAATTAAGGGGAAAGGTATAGTTAAAGAATGTGAGGAATTTGGAGAAGAAGTGGCAAAGGAAATATTGAGAGTTTACCTTGTTCCAAAAAAATTAATTTACTATATATATATATATATATATTAATATATAAAACCAGTTTCAACTCAATTATTTTTGTTACATATAAAACTTTTCCAGGTACACTTCCTAATTAAAAATTAATTCTATCTACAGTAACTATGTCTTGCCTATGAATAGATTATAACTCAGTAAACATTTCCTGAAATGTGTGAGAATAGTGCAAGTATAAAGGGATAAATAATAAAAGAAAAAAAATCTATAGCTTATATATACTGTATATTATTTAATTTTTAATAAAAATTTTTGTAAAAATAAGACAAAAAAATAAAAATAAATTCAACCTTTTTTTTTATCATGACTAAGACAAAGATGAATCAATAAAATCATCACATTTTAAAGCCATTCATTGGTCACATTACTACACTTAGTCACGGGAGGGGTGCAAATAACAATTCCCTTTTTTTATTAAGAAATGTTTAATAATAAATATTTATATTAATATTACCTTTCAACAAAATATATAATCTTTTTAACTTCAGGTGATGCTGGATGTATTTTGTCTTCATTATGTAGCAACTACCCAAATATTTCACATATACTTTAGTAATTTCAAAGTTTTAACTTAAAGATAAAAAAAATAAAATAAAGAAAACATGATATCCTCAAGCCTTGCCCATAAACTTGCATTATCAAATTTATCATATCTTATTAATATTAATACTCGTTAGAAATTAAATTTTATTGGTCTACATATAAAAATTGAGAGGTAATTTTTGTTACCATTAAAAAATCCTCAATAATATATATTGTAACACATTGGGGTATTTGATATTGGTTGATTGACAAATCTAATTAATGTCAATAAGATAAATCTATATGTGCGGATTTTTTAATGGCAACCCCCTTTTTTCTGTGTGACAAAAGTTTTTTATTTATGAATTTTGATGCTATACACAGTAAGTCTCAGTATAGCGGACCTCGGTATAGCGGATGTCTAATAAAACTCTCGGTTTAATGGATCAAAGCTCAGAACCGTCTATAAGTAAATTCTCTCAGT